ATTTTATTTTGATATTGTATTTATTGTATGTAAAAAAAATTGTTTTTTTCTTTTAATAGGAAATTATTATTTATGTTTATTGTAAATTGAAGAATATTTTCTTTGAATTTGTTTGTTTGTGAAAAAGGGGCAGAGATTATAAGATTCTTTCTTCTTCTGCTACCTTTCATTTAATGTAATTTATGATTTGTGTTTTTGTTATATGTTGAATTTATGTTGTTTTTAAATGAATGAAACCTTAAACTAAGTATGACTTTATGGTACTTTATACAAGACTAATGCCCACTAGGGTTTAATTAAAGCAGTCTTTCTATAATTCTGACATTTTACAGTTGAAGTCAGTCTAATTCAAAATGACCTTAGCAAACACAAAAAAGGTTATAATTTCCTCGTTTTACAGATATTGCCCTATTTGATGTGATAGTAGCTGAGCATCATCCCCAGCAGATACTTTGTGAAAACTTCTTGTATAAACTTTGTCATTAACTGTCTGTAACCTAGTAAGACATGAACCAGTGGACAGATTTTAATGAAACTCCCAGAAAATAATCATTGCATGTGCAGCTGCAACTGATTAACTAACCTAATTCAAAGATGCCATAAAATGGAGGTGAAAGACATGCTCTAAAAGGACGCTGGGCCTTTAAATGAGTGCGCGTTTTCATGTTTCTTTTGGGCCTCTATCCAAACACTCAGGCTGCTAAGCTGTAAAATACTCCAGTGTGTTCACAAGCAGGTCACAAACTGTGTTTGTTTGTGGTCTGGGCCTGAGCAGAAAGTGTGAGGAGCATTTTAAAACCTTTTTTTAAGTAGGACAGCTTCCTGCTGCAGCAAACAAACAAAAACCACGTGAAACAGTTTGCTTACATCCTTTACGTATAAAAGATAATTAGATTAGAGTACCTACTTGATAAGAATTTCATTAAACATTTGTCTTTATTAGTTACTATGGTGTGCACACACAAGCAGTGTTTCTTCAAGATTAAAAAAGAAAAAAATGGTATAGGTCTTCTGGAYGGGTTCTTCTCTAATGAAACGTTTCGTCTCTCCTCCAAGAGACTTCTTCAGTCTGAGAGTTTCAGGCAAAATTCAGGCTTTTAAGCCCTGCCTCCATGTGACTGATACAGGCACACTGACACAGGAAGCCTGAATTTTGCCTGAAACTCTCAGACTGAAGAAGTCTCTTGGAGGAGAGACGAAACGTTTCATTAGAGAACAACCCGTCCAGAAGACCTATACAATTTTTTTCCTTTTGATTTTTTACCTTGGTTACTGAGATGCATCAGGACATTCTTCAAGATTGTTTTCAGGTAGAAAAGAAGAAAAAAAATCTTAACCCAGGACCAGCAGAGTTGAACATTAATATATTTTTGGATCAGTCAAATTCACAGTGGCTTATTTGTTTTTTTTTTTTTTTTCTTGCAAAGATATGTCTATTTGATTGTCCGCATACAGATTTCTTTTTTTTTCCCCTAGCACACATCTAAATGAACACATGCTGCATTCAGTGTTGCATATTTGACAGTGGAATGAGGTAGCAGTGTGTCAGTGTTCATTTGTCAGTACCAATACATTCTCTGCGCTTCTACAAATATAACACAGCAATATATTAGGAGTTACAGAAAGGTCCGAGAAACTTGCTGCCACGGGAAGTGAGGTAAACGTTGCATCAGTTCCATATAAAGATCCCTGCACAAACAACTTTCACAGCTGACGGATATAAAGGTTTAGCATAAGAATTACTTCATAATGATTAAATTAAAAAAATTATAAAGTAAAACACAGTATAAAAAAATCAAACCTACCTACATTATAGTTTTTGCTTCTATGTTTTTATGAAAACTAACGATGTGCACATTCCCTGAAATCTGCTAAGAAAAAAATATATATATAAACCAATGAAAAATAGTTTTGACAAGAAAAGAGAAAATGAGTTTCAGCAGAAAAGTTCAAGACAGAAGCGAAGAGACAGAGCTAAGGCGTTTTGGTCTTCATTAGCTGCACTTTGGCAACTACAAAAAAAAGGCAGAACTACATGATAAATTTTAAATGAAGTCCACAGTGGATTTTCATCATTTTCTACTCTAAAGACACTTGGGTAGAACCCTTGTAAAGTCTTAATGCTTTTATGTTCCTAACAGGCACTAGAGTCAACTGATCTGAGTCCACAGTAGATGAGACAACTTCAAGATAAAACAAAGTCTTCCTGATACAAATTATATCAAAGTCACTCAGATGCTGCGAGTAAAAAAGGTCAATACTGAAAAGAAATGAAGATCCTGTGTTTTAGACCGTTTTCCCTGAAGTTTATACATTTCTTTTCTGAGACGTACACAGTTTAGTGTGACATTTCTTTTTAATTTGGTCCCTTTGAGGAAGTGGAAGATGTGGGTGATGGACTGTGGGAGGAGGAGGAGGAGAGAGCGCTGAAACCGCTGGTTCCTGCCGGAGTCACGGTCTGCGACGAGACCGGTGCTGCTGGTTTCTGGGCTACGAGCGTACCTGCAGCGTAGAAATCACAGAGGACACAGGAGATCTTAAAATTTACATCCAATGTTAAATATTTTATATTTAGACTCATCTGTGGGCTGAAATTCCCCAAACAGGTTGATGCCAAGTTTGTCATTCTTACATGTATGTGGCGGGGCTCTGTTATGACTTGGACAAAAATATAGGCTAATGCAGTGATTCACTTAATGTTTATTGTGCTCGTCTTCATGTGGAAAAAAGGGTGAAGATGTACAACTTATTTACATTGGACAGCCAGGCAGGTTTAAAGAAAGTCAGTATTACCTTCATTGCAACTCAGAAAAGTCCATCACCTTCAGTGTGACCTGTTAAAACTATAAAGTCAGACTGACTCCTCGTGGCGCAGAGCCCTCTTTTATACACACAGGCTCCGCCCACAGGAAGAGAGAAAAAAACTCTCAATACTTCAAGCAACTTCTCATCAAAGTAACAATACCAAAAAAGAATAATACAAATAAATAAACACAATAAGAAAATAAAAAGAAAAACAAAGCTATAATCAAAATATAACTCTCCATTCATACAACATCCAGATGACGTCAGCATTACGTCGTCACGTGACTCCTTGCCAGCTCACCATCACCCGGAAATAACTGATTTCGAATATCTGACTCGGAAAAATGTTTGATACTAATATTTCAAACTAAGATGGACATAACAACTGAGGCAGGAACACCGTGTGCACCCACGACAAACTGCTTCAGTTTATGTTGTCTTTATGTGTGTGTATGTCGGTGCGGACGTTCTTTAGCTACTTTTAAAACTTGGGATGGCTCCTCAGTCACAATGTAAAATTACATTTTACAAAACAAAAAGGTTCATTAAAAAAAGAAAGCAGTGTGTTAATCAGTTTAAGTTACTGTTACCAAACTTTATTAAATGAATGTTAAAAGTAAAAAGTTCAATTACAGGTCCTTCTCAAAAAATTAGCATATTGTGACAAAGTTCATTATTTTCTGTAATGTACTGATAAACATTAAGCTTTCAAATATTTTAGAGTCATTGCACACCAACTGAAGTAGTTCAACCCTTTTGTTTTAATATTGATGATTTTGGCAAAAAAAAAAGTTAAGAAAAAATCAAAAATCCCTAACTCAAAAAATTATCAGCTGCAGCTCTTTTAATAACTGGCCTCAGACAAAAAAATCATTTTAATTTAACAAATAAATAACATGAATTAGCTGCTGGTGCCTTTTCTCAAGCGTGTCCCTCGCTGTGTGTGTGTGTGTGTGTGTGTGTGTGTGTGTGTGTGTGTGTGTGTGTGTGTGTGTGTGTGTGTGTGTGTGTGTGTGTGTGTGTGTGTGTGTGTGTGTGTGTGTGTGTGAGAGATTATGGGTAGACGTAGGGGCTACACAGCGCTGTTGTGTTGAGAAAAAAAACCCGCTCTGTCTTTTATTTATTTATTGCCACAATGTTTTTTTTTTATAAACACTTGTACAACCCGACCCGTGGATGGCCAGTTTTGTTTCATTTCTGCGCTGATCAGCTGGAAGAAGCAACCTTATTTTTTCCAACCGCCTGACGTCAAATGCGCTGCTTCTACCATCAATAAAATGCAGGATTGAGCGTTTCATGTGTGGTTGGAACCTGGAGACACACTTCAGCTGAATCTCAGATCAGAACCTCACGATCAGAACCACAGACAGCAGGCGCGCCGCTGGAGAAGGGCGAGGGAGTTTCCTGCAATGCGTCCCACCACCACGCAAAGCATTGTGGGAAGTGTCTCTTAATTTTTAGTTTAGTTTAATTTGTTTATTCATTTCATTTAAAACCAAAAATTTTATACACAACATATATACATAAATATATATACGTAATGCAGAACAGTTAGTCACAGGATAAAGCTCTGTGTTATTTTATCATACGTCTGAGAGGGCGCTGTTGCAATACTGTGCTTCGTCATGGTGTTGGTCACTAACAGCAAGCCCTCTCTGCTGTTCAAGAAAATAATAAACTCTTTAGGGAATTTCTTTACTGTAATGTCAGATGACGTTCTGCCCCTATTTTAAATGATGATAAACCATACTTTCCGATATTCAAGATAGTGATAACTGGTAGATAGTTAGTTTTTAGCAGTACTGCATTTTAATTTTAGAAAGCGCAAATCCTCTTATGAATTATAAAAGTTAGTAAGACCACTAAAGCGCAAATGAAATATTTAGGTCCGCAATTAGCGGATTTGCGCTTTAGTGGACTGGTGCCCACCACTGAAAATTAGCATATATCATCCGACCAAGAAAAGAAAAGTGTTTTTAATACAAAAAAGTCAACCTTCAAATAATTATGTTCAGTTATGCTCTCAACAGTTGGTCAGGAATCATTTTGCAGAAATAACTGCTTCAATGCGGCGTGGCATGGAGGCAATCAGCCTGTGGCTCTGCTGAGGTGTTATGGAGGCCCAGGATGCTTCGATAGCGGCCTTAAGCTCATCCAGAGTGTTGGGTCTTGTGTCTTAAGCTCATCCAGAGTGTTGGGTCTTGTGTCTTAAGCTCATCCAGAGTGTTGGGT